ATATATATATATATATATATATATATATATATATATGTTATGCATGTTACATCATATACATACATACATATATATATATATAACATATATCCATGGCTTTGTTATCCATGTTATTCTGAATCCTCACTGGAAAACTCCTACTTTTTTATTTCATTCTCCAACAAACTTTTCTATTAGCAAAATGAGTGTTATCTAATACTTTTTTTCCTTCCTCTTTTCAACCCATTGTTAGAAGAGCTAAAACAAATTTTAGGAAGTTCTCTTTTCCTGGGAGTCCACTGGAAAAGTAAAGCAGCGAAAGAGCAAGGTAGAAAACAGCATATACAGTATGATTGATCTCTGTGTGGGTGTGTTTGTGTGTGCATTGTTTTTCTTCTCCCCCAAAAGTCCAAAATGACAAGAGTTATGGCTTATAGTCCCAAATCCATTATTACCCAGTAAATACATGAATTATGCCTTTTAAGCTTTAAAGCCAGTCATGCCTCCTTTCCACTAATACATATGCTCTATTGGGCATTTTATTCCAAGCAGAACAGTGTTGTCTATTTTATCTCAGAAAGTGCAGTAACTCCCTTCTGAATGTTATCAGCATCTGTCCTGGAAACCTTTGCAGGTAGAGTCTGCCCTCATCCTCTCACTCATTTAGAGCCATGCAGACTCAAGACGGGAATTGCTTTGAACCTATGGAACAGCCCATGGTTGGTAACCAGTTTCTGCATCTGTCAGCATGGCTGTCTGGAGCAAACTTCCTGTCTTCCATCTTTGCCACTTCCTGGCTGTGCTACCTTTACTAGGCCCCGTGCTCTGCTCTCTAGTTTCACATCTACAAAGTGAGAAGAAGCCCTCACCTACTCCAAAGGTGGTTGTTAAGATTAAAATGACTTAAAACACTTAGAGTAGTGCCTGGCATAAAATAAAAGCTGGATAAATGTAAGCTGTTGCTTTTATTAGTCTCCTGAATTAACTCATTAGATCATATTGTCCAGTATTGATGTTGAACTGATAGTCGTATACTCATACGTCATTTCAGTTCCCTGTCCCTCCTTGCTGATTATTGTCCTTTGCACAGGCACAGAATCTCACAGGATGCATACTCAATCTGTCCTTCACTGGCAGTTCAGCTATTAAAACAAACGAAAACCATGGGGAGCCTGGGTGGCTCAGTTGGGTCAAATCCAACTCTTGATTTCAGCTCAAGTTAT